AGGATATGTGACCTCTAAAAAAAACTAGAAAGAGGGGAGGGGGGCGCCCGGGTGGCTCAGTCGGTTAAGCGGCCGACTCTTAGTTTCGGCTCCAGTCATGATCTCAGGGTCCTGAGATCGAGCCCCGCATCAGGCTCTACGCTCAGTGCAGATTCTGCTTGTCCCTCTCCGTCCTCCTCTGCTGCTCCTCCTCCAGCTCTTTCTCTCTCTCAAATAAATAAATAAAATCTTAACAAAAAAAAAGAAAGAAAAGAAAAGAAAGACAGGAGGTGGAGGAAGAGAAAACAATCTCTTGTATTTGCGGATGTCTTTCAAAAACAATAAAATCTTTTGTTAATTTGGCTACTCCTCATAAGAAGGAATACGCACCAATAATGGCTTAGGATTATTTTCCTAATAAGGTTTTAGTCGAGTTCTCCCAGAAAACGACCCTGGCTCAGAATCCATGTTGGAAGGTGACCCAGGAAGCAGCTGGAAGGGAGAGGGGAGGGGAGGCGGGACCAAGGAGGGGAGGAAGCAGAAAGAGGGTGTGGACGCGAGCCGCTTGTCACCACAGGCACCTGGCTCCTCTCAGTGGGGCTCTCTGAAAGATTTTTTGGGTCATGACTCAGGGGGGTCCCACCCGGGAGGTGAGGGAAGCTGGGCTTTCATCCACCTACTGCCAGTGGTCGCTGACTGAAGGCTGCTCCTAGAGGCATCAGCCTCCCCTCGTCCCCCCCAGCCCCCCAGCCTGCCCTGCCCGGGGCCCAATAAAACCCTGGTGCCTAAAAGAACAGGTGCTTGGCAGCCAAAAGGTACCAGCAAGCCCGAGAGTGGGGACTGCCTGAGGCCCGGGGTTGGGCCCCTCTAGTGCCTGGTACTGACACCAAACTGAATGTTTTCTCCCATAATTCATGATTTCAACAAACATTTGTATAGTTCCTGGTGTATGTGTCCATTTCCTCCCCTGAGCTTAACAATAGCGCAGATAGGGAGATCTATCTGTACCCACACCCCATGGACGGGGAAACTGAGCCCAGGTGGCGTCTGGCCAGGAGAATTGAGCTGGGATGGTAGCCCCAGTCTCCTCACTCTCTGCATGTGTGGTCACTCAGGCCTGACTCCTTGGATCTCTACAAAGCTCGGATCCGTAAGGAGATGTAAATGTATTAACGTTTTCGAGGTGAGAACAGGAAACGAAAACTATTTTTTTTGGTACTCTGCAGAATTCCTTAGATATCCGTAGGGAAGTAGATACTTCTATACCCTTAGTCCCAAGACTCTTATGCCAAAAAATATTATCTCTCTTTTGCACAAAGCACTGTCAAAATTAGGAGGTTATAGGACCTGCTGACCGCCACACAGGATGTGAGCGATCCAGTTAAATTCTCGAAAGCTCCACAGAAGTCCCTGTAGTGGAAGCTTATGGATGCATGGTTCACTGAAGACTGGATTTTGTTACCTCCCCATTACCCGGGCTCTCTTCAGAAGTGTTGTCAGTCCCTTTGGTACTTCTTGGAAACAAGTCTCTCTCCCAGCTTCATTTCCCTTTATTATGCTTGTAAGTGACTCGGTAATTCTTTGTGGACTTCAGTAACACTTGTACTATTTAAATTTGAATAACCCCAAAGGATCTAGATAGGTCAATGTGTTTAAACCACAGGCTTTAGTCTACATATTAGTTGATTAAAAACAGATTTTTATACATGATGTATACTTAATAAAAGGAGGGGAAGCAAGCAGATGTTTGTAAAATCTGAATGTGTTAGATTCTATTTGTTTGGCTCTCTTTTGCTGACTAGCTTTAGAAAAATCATACCTATGATCGCTGAAGTGTAAACAGTTAGATGATGTATTTCCCTAGAAATTTCCTGCTCAGAGGGGTCAGCCAAAAAGACAAGCAGAAAGATTCCCTAAGATTAACATACCAAAAGAAGTTGGCAAATATACCATAAAGTAGTCACATCTAGATCAAGGACACTGAATAATGGAATGCCTCAAAATTATTCTCTAGTCTCTGACCATGAAGTGATTAGTGGTTGTGATTCATTTCATCCAAACAGAAAAACTTTTGGCTGTTGTCTGCGTTGTTGTTGTTGTTGTTGTTGTTGTTGTTGTTAAGAGCTTTGAAAGCAAGTTTTTCTTTGATGCAACCATGAGAGCATTAACTTGAACCTTAATCACTCTGTCTAGCTCCTTCTATGACTTTATGTTAAGGTATCCCATCCTTTAAGTGGGAAATAGTCACTTTTCTCCCTTAAAATATTTGTATTTGAGACGCTTTGAGTGTTTCAAAGCCAAAATCGAAGCGTTCTCGTTGGTCTTCCAGTCCCGATGAAAGAAAGTGCCAAACCTCCCTCTTAATTCTGAACACATGAGAACTACAGATAAAATATTTTCAAATGGATTTTGAAGAATAATAACAAGTTTAAACATGAGTGGAAAGTCTCCAAGGACCGGAAATGAAAGGAGATGCAGAATGGTGGGGGAAGGCTGAAGCTGGGCTACTCAGGAGAAGTGGAGATGAGCCAGGGTGGTGGCGACCCCGAGGGGGAACATGGTGGCGAGTGTCACACATGGGGCAGGAGCCTCAGACTGTCCCATACACCTGGAGGCCAGGACTCCCAGTGGACACAGTGGACTCAAAGGGTACCTCCCACCTTCTCTGGAATTGGAGCCAGACAGAATTCTCAGGGACAGAATGCCTCAGGGAGGCACTGAGTCAAACCCGGATCTGTGCCTCTCTAACACACGGGTGTCCTGTGGGAGCACTCTCTCTGGGGAAGCGACCTCGCGCCCTAACATCCGAGTGGGCAGCTCGCTTGGCTGTGCTGTGCCAATCCCCAGATCCCAGCCCAGGGAGCAAAGTTCACATCAGATGAGCTGTCGGACAAAAATTGTAAGATACGAGATAAAATCAGACTCTTGGGAAACATTGCACAAACACAGGAAAATAGGGAATTGCCTTTTTTCAAGTAAGCTTAAGAATAAATAGTATGTTTAGTCCTCTTGAAATTATGAAGGGAGGAATTGCATCCTGGGAAGAAGAAGAGAAAGTAAGTCAAGAAGAGGGAGATGTGATAAAGAATCCACTGGAAATGAAAAATGTGGTCATTGAAATGAAAAAATTGGGCAATAAGATAAAGACCAGATTAATAAGCAGAACTTGTTTAAGAATGACCAGAGAGATGTCTGTTTCTGACGTATGCATTTTAAGCTTTAAATAAAAGTGACTCTTTTCCTGAATATACTTTTCTAAATCTAACATTTTGGAAAGCAGAAAGAGTAAATGCTTTCAGAGATTAATTTCATGGCATAGTGAACTATTACCACCTTGATGAAATTATTGATTTTCAAAATGCCCGCCGTACTCTTTTTTTTTTTTTTAAAGATTTTATTTATTTGAGAGACAGAGAGTGAGAGAGAGCATGAGAGGAGAGAGGGTCAGAGGAGAAGCAGACTCCGTGCTGAGCAGGGAGCCCGACATGGGACTCGATCCCAGGACTTCGGGATCATGACCCAAGCCGAAGGCAGTCGCTCAACCAACTGAGCCACCTAGGCGCCCCCCCCCATACTCTTTTCAAATCCTTTTTTGCAGATGGCATTACAAATCCTCGATCTATTTTCTTTTCCATGAAATTTCCTTCCATTCCGTCTTTTCACTGTATTTGTGGAATTGTCTAACCGTTAAAACTGTTAAAAATATCTGCCCTAATCCTTTGCCCTGATCTTGGTCCATGACGTTGTTCTATTCCCTGCCTGTGGCCACCTCTACCTCCATCCCATCTTCCCAAGAAGTTCCCATTGCTGTTCACCAAAAACTCCATACCCATCCTTCCAGCCTCAGTGGAAAGAGTGTGTCCTCCGGGAAACCTTCTCCGGGTAGCCCCGACCTCTGCCCCTTGACTCGTTCACAGCATCTTTCCCCCAGTTGCATCTCCTCATGGACAAGGAGTAGGAGTTTTATTTGTGTTTCCCCAGTATCTCTCAGAGTCTGGCATGTAGTAGAAGCTCAATAAATACTTGTGTGAATAGCTAAATAAATGAATGGCATCAATGAATAACATATAGAACGAGAAGTGGGTTATTGTGGTTGAAAATTAGATTTAATAGTCATTGCAGGGGACTTTAAATTTGATGTTCTAAAGGAATAGGGAATAATTCTAGATTTGTAAGCCGGATAGTTATATGAAAAATGTGGCATTCAAGGAAATTTAATCTGGCATTGATAGGTTGGTAGACAAAGAATAGAAGCATGTACAATAAAATGTACTATGAGTGAGTAAATGTGTATGATGGGACTTCTTATATCTTATAAATGCCTATCAATAGTCATAATGTCAGTGATAGCCAGATAATGCAAACCTTCCTCTGAGGGACTGACCTCAGCCTGCCCGTAAAATGGTAAATCCTGAAAATCCAATAATAGTTGATTTGCTGTGGGAATATACTCCTTATATTATTGCCATTTCTGATTCAGGTAAAGCACTAGAAATCCAATTACCTCCTTTCTAGTTCACCTAGTTCACCACCTATAGCTAATTATTCAGATAAATGTGCCCGGGTTTGTACAAGAAGCAGGAACAAAAAGAGTGAAATTTGAACCTTTTTTAAAGGTTCTTTTAAATGCAGCTCCTTAAAGTCGAGCTTAAATCTATAAATGCGGGGCGCCTGGGTGGCTCAGTCAGTTAAGCGTCTGCCTTTGGCTTAGGTCATGATTCCAAGGTCCTGGGATCGAGCCCTGCATCGGGCTCCCTGCTCAGTGGGGAGTCTGCTCCGTCTTCTTCTGCCCCTCTGCCTGCTTGTGCTTGCTCTGTCTCTCTCAAATAAATAAATAAAATCTTAAAAAAAAAATAAATCTATAAATGCTTAAAGCTGCGTAGATTTCATTGAGGTTTCTGAAAAAGAGATCCGATTTTCCTCAGTATGAGTAATTTTGTTATTAAAAGTATGTAATACTTCAGGATACAGCATAACATGTTCAGGATGCAGAATAATATTTTTCTTCTCTTTCTGAACAGCAAAACTTGGAGAGTAACCTCACCAGCCTTATCAAGAGGAACACGGAACTGGAGACCCTTTTGGCTAAACTCATCCAAACCTGTCAACACGTGGAGGTGAGTGTCATTGTGTTGCACGTGAAAACTGCTAGCCCGTGGTTTTACACCCTCCCCGCCTTTACATTTTTAAGATGGGAATCTTTTCAAAATTAGCTCTTTTGCCGAAGCCGAATATAAAAGATGGACAGAATTGGAAGGAACTAGAATCTCGGAGACTCTCCCCATGCACTGCTTTGTCCCCCCACTGCCGCCGCCATGACAGCTCTCCTTTACTTAGCATTCCTAGTATTGTAGATTTAATCGCCTTTACAAAGAGCATCCAAAAAAGCCCTGTATAAAAGGTGTTGTATCAGTTTCCCTGGGGCTGCTGTAACAAATCACCCCGGACTTGGATGGCATAAGATGATAGCAATGTATTCTCTCATAGTTCTGGAGGCCGGAAGTTCGAAATCAAGCCTTGCTCCTTCTGAAGGCTCTAGGGAGGACAAGTTCATGCCTCTTCCCACCTTCTAGTAGTTCCAGGCAATTCTTGGAGTTCTTGGCTTGTAGCTGCAGCCCTCTCACCTCTGCCTCTGTGGTCCCATGGCCTTCTCCCTGTGTGTCTCTGTGTTGGCGTCCAAATCCTCTTCTCACAGGGACACCAGTCATCGGATTGGGGCCATCCTAACCCCGGGGTGAATTCACTTCAACTCGATTACATATGCAAAGACCCTGTTTCCAAACCAGGTCATATTTGCAGATACCGGGGGTTAGGACTTGGACATAATCTTTCTGGGGGAACCACAATTCAATCCACTGCAGATGCACATTAAATGCATCTTAGTTGTCAGATACATTTCCATGAAACGGATCACTTGTCGGGATTAAGTCAAGAGTATGCAGGCGGCAGTGACACCAAGGACAAATTGCAGAACCCAGATCTTTCTAACCCTCTGCTTAGGATGGATTCACTTTTGGGGTGCTTGGGTGGCACATTTGGTTGAGCATCTGACTCTTGATTTCGGCTCAGGTCATGATCTCAGGGTTGTGAGATCAAGCCTTGCATCGGGCTCTGTGCTCAGCTTCTCCCTCTCCCTCTGCTCCCCCCCAACTCATGTGTTCTCTCTCTCTCTCTCTCTCTCTCTCTCTCCCCCCCCCTCTCCAATAAATAAATAAATAAAATCTTAAAAAAAAAAATAATGGATTTGCTTTTGGCAAGGATCTCTCCAGGGACCATTTTGAACCTTGTTGATTAAACAACATGGTAAATAACAGTGAACAAGCATAATGTTTTTATTATCGTAGGGCACAGTGAATATGTGTTACAGGAATAAATGGATGAACAAAGTGGAATGATCCATGTGCTATATTTTATTTTTATGATGTGATGGCATTTGATGTTTATGACAATAAGAAAGAATAATTTCTCTTCAGTAAAAAAAAAAAATTACCTGTGTTTTATGGGGAAATCTTACAAAGGCTTTATGGATTGGGTGATTATTTCATTCAATTTCAGCTAGTTACTTCTTAAAGCATTTAGTGTCTGGTTTCTATTATGGCCTGTAGTGATTTCAGAACAACTGTCTTGCTCCTAATACAATATTAGTATGGCTTGAATTTACAAAATGCTATTCGTTTTAACATGGAAAATGATTTTCTGTAACGTTCAGTAACTTCAAATGATAGATAGAAATTTACCAGCAGATTTTATTTTTATTCCAAAAGACTAGATACTTAGATGTGATAGAGGCTTTTTAAATAAAGCTATTACTGCATTGATTGTACGTGCCGTTGGAAGTTATTTACAAGGAGTAAAGAGTATGCATTCCTTTCACTGTGTTCCTGTATAAAGCCTTAGGAATGGAAACGAATCCTTGTGGGTGAATAAATTTGGTATTTGGGAAATATATTCTAGATAAATATTAAAATTAATTATGAATAGGAAAATGATACTGAGGGACTTTTTACTGTTTTTATTATGTGTCCCTTTTTCATAATTATTAATAGTCTCAGAGCGTAATTTTTAAAAAAATGGAGCATCCGGTTCTCATACAATAATCCAGTGAGTCTGTTGAAGGCTTATTTAAGGCATTGTTGAAGGAGGCAGCCAGGCGGTAAGCTGGCCCAAAGGAACAGAGCTGAAGCCCATACCCCCACGCGGGGGGCGCGGGGGGCGCCGTGCGGGGAGAAGGGCGCTAGGATACGGGAGCTAAGTTAGATGCAAAACTGCTTCGTGACCCAAAGGACAGGAAAGTCATAATGTCTGGGCAAAATGAATTGTATATCATCCGTTTTCTCCAAGTTATTGTTTAACTTTGCAGAGACTAAGGCTGGATCAGGAGTAAAGCCCAACTCTGTGACCTGCCAGCCTGGAGAGTTACACGACCCTTCCTTAGGCTGCCTTGGTGGGCTATGCACCAGTACGATCTAGTACAATCTAGTACAACCTAGTACGATCTAGTACGACCCCGAAAGGACTCACAGTCTTCTTTTTGCCTTATTTCCCGGTTTTGGATAATTGAGTTTAACGTGACTTTCTGCTCTTCCTGTTCTAATCCCCGTTGATCCAGGAGTTGTGTTCACTGCACAGATATTTCTGGGCGAGGGTGTAAATTTTAGCCTCTGGCCAGTCACTTTGGTTTATTCAAGTGTGACCCTAGCTTGTTCACTCCGCTCACGTGTAGAGGGCATCTGCTGTGTGTGCGTCGCGCTGTACTGGACGCCAAGGGACCGGCCCCCAGGGAGCTTACCATCCTATCCAAGACCAAAGAATAACTGCAATGCAAAATAGAAAACTAGTGGCTGTAAGAGAGGTGTGGACACAGTACTTGGAATTTCCGAGAAGCAGGTGGCACTTGGGCATATGGAGAGACAGGGCAGGCACTATTTACAGGGCAAACCAGGGCATGGGGATAGAAGAATAGTGTATGTACACAAAGCAAGTAATTCGTTCTGTGGAAACCAAGTGTGTGAGGGGGATCAGTAGGAACCGGCTTTTGGGAGATGAGAATGGGGTGGGCTTTAATAAGCACATCACTCTCTGAACTTTACTTGGTCCTGAAGGTTTAGTGAGGGTTCGAGGAGCACAAAGACCTGGGTACCTTTCCCGTTACAACCGGCATCCCTAATTCTCTTCAGTAAAGGATATTTTGGGCTAATGGAAAACTAATATGGATATCTTAGTGCAAAAGGCACTGAGCGCGCGTGCAGGGGAGAACCTCCCAGCACACTAGTAAACTCCAAAAAGCTAGTGGAATTTGTTAGGCACTTTTAAATCAGTGCAGTGGACAAGAATTTCCTGGTTCACATCCGAGATTCCAAGACTGTATTTCTTCCTTTTCCTCTTCCTGAAGGTGTCCTTGTATTTGGGGCTGAGCATTCCGAGGGAAAATAATCCCCACACCAGCTGGAGCGAGAAACTCCAAGCACAGAGGCGACTCTCAATTGTTGTAAATCAAATCAATGAATTCCCACCAAATCCTGAGGAAATGCCACATCCTTATAAGTCCACACCTCCTTCCTGGGATTCACTTCTGCTTTTCTTGAGAATGAAAAGAGTTGGAAGGTCTCCCCCCATCCCCATTGTTTTCGTAACTTGTTTTCACAGTGAGGGTAAGCAAATGAAATGGCCTTTTGATAGTGAGTACCAAATCTTTTTTAAAACTAGTGAACGGACGGAATGAAGGCCAAGGCAGCTCAGGACTCAGGAGGGAGAGGCATTGAAAGAGCAGTTTCAGGTAGACTCCCAAGAAATGTGTGTGGAATGTGGTGGCTGGGATTCTAAAAACGGGTGGGTTTTGGGCCACTGGGTTTTGTTTTCTTCAGGAGCATTGGACAGTAGAGAATCCCCTGGAATGAGTTTAGCGTTAGTTATCTATGGGATGTGGGACAAGCCTCTGAGAAGTGATCAAAATTTGGGTCAGCCACAGAACTTACCAGTTCCGGGTCTCTTCATCACCTCATCCTCCTCCCTGTTTTATTTTAAAAATCAGAGGGCCTAGTTTATTAGCTAAGGAAATACTGATATGTATCAAATTCTCGACATGTTCTGAGAATCAAGTTCTTTCACGGGGCCTACAACACCTGGACACAAACGAGATGTTCATTTGGGAAATTACAGGTGACCAGTGACTAAATACACAGAGAGATGGTAAAGAAAAACTGGGGAATGGTGACTAATTAATTGCCAGAGCAGCATGGAGAAAATAAAGTCTCATCTGACCTTACCGTCCTTGCCCAAGCTTATCCTAGAAGGGTATTTTCCAAGCCAGCATCCCGCCTAAGTCCTGGCATTAGCCCCTTTGGCTTATCTTGCCTTGTTTGTAATTACTTTTTATTTTATTTTATTTTATTTTATTTTATTTTATTTTATTTTATTTTATTTTAAAGGTTTTATTTATTTATTCGAGAGAGAGAACAAGCATGAGTGGGGGGGGAGGGGCAGAGGGAGAGGGAGAAGCAGACTCCCTGCTGAGCAGGGAGCCCGCAGTGGGGCTCAATCCCAGGACCCCCGGATCATGACCTGAGCTGAAGGCAAACGGTTAACCGACTGAGCCACCCAGGGTGCCCTGTAATTACTTAAAAAAAAAACAAAAAACCAAACAAACAAATTCCTTTTGCCATTGTTTTTTGCACTAAGTTTTTAAATTATCTTTTTCTTTGATTTTAATGGAAACTTTGCTGTCTTGCTGGCTTCTCTGAGTTCTTCCACTGCTAGATGACACGTGAAGTGACAAACTTCTTGGGGTTGAACTAAGTGCCATTTAATTCAATTTTTGCCCAGATATTGGGGCTCCATAAATTGAAAGGGAGGAGGGTGATGTGTTACAGTAGCTTGTAAGAAACGGTTAAAAAAAAACTGATTTGGGAAGACAGATAGGGTCCGTAAAAGACTTTTTCCATCATTCACCACATCCTAAGAGCATTCAGTTGTAAGCTTTGAAATAAGGGGGGGAAACCACTGGGTTAAAAAGAAAGATGAAGTTTTAAGTTTAAATTATTTTATTGTGCCGTTTTACGTGAAAGCGTTCTCTCCTTCTGTATGGAAAACCTTGGCAATTGCTTTGTCTACGGTCATT